GGCGCAGGCAATAAGGGGGAGCATTGTCTATAGAAAATTTTAAAGCAACACCAAAACTGCCATCTGTCTTTATCACCTAAGTGTAAAGCAATTCTAAACAATGTTGACAATAAAATTCTCCAATCTAAAAATGGCCTGGCCCTAACCGGTTTGGCTTGATGGATAGAGTGTCGGCTGCGCTGATAGGTCCCAGGTTCGATTCCGGTCAAGGGCAAATGTATCTTGGTTGCGGGCAGATCCCCAGTAGGGAGTGTGCGGGAGGCAGCTGATTCATGTTTCTCTCTCATCGATGTTTCTAACTCTCTATCCCTCTCCCTTCCTCTCTGTAAAAAAAAATCAATAAAATATAGTTTTAAATAAATAAACAAATAAAATTTAAAAAAATAAAAAACGGCCTGTTCCTGGCCCAGATTCCTCCCACTGTCTCCTTTCCTTCCTTCTCCCCCCCCCTCGCCCCCCCTCCCTGGCCTTGTGTTATCTATTCTCTTTGGGTCTCAGATGAAACTGAGAAGTCTCCTGCTTACTTAAGTCCTATTACCTCCAAATGGACAGCTTAGCCTCTAACCTTTACAATGCCCTCTGCCCTTCCTCAGGACACTTTGCTACCATCTGCTGGGCAGTTGTAAAAAGTACACAAATCCATGATAGTTGTAAAAATGAGTGGAACGTCTTTGATTTATGTGAGTGTTCTAGTGGTGCACTCATTTGTGTGTGAGCGCATGTGTGTGTGCATGCATGTGTGTGTGCACGTGTGTACATGCAACTTTAAGAAAGCAGATTGAATATTCAGTATTATCTAAGACATAAAGAATTAAGATGCAAAATTTCCACCATCTATTCATTTTTTTTTGATCTAGCAGGAGTGGTACCAGAAAGACACTTGAGTGGGCCTATAGGGGCAGAGAGGAAGGGTTGGGCTCTTTGGGGAAAATAAAGAAGTCAATCTCCAGATGGGTAAAATAATCAATAATTCACTTAAGTTGAAGTGTGAAGAACTTATATGAAGAAAGTTTGGGCCCCTGACCAGAATTGAACCTGGGACCCTTCAGTCTGCAAGCCAATGCTCTATCCACTGAGCCAAACCTTTGTTGGCTGGATCCCAGACCTTTATGGCCAGGACCAGAAGGCCATTCAGGGGACCCAGATGAGAACCCATTGCCTATCATTTTATTGGACTCTAAATATCCAGCCTAGTCCGGACCACCATTTCATCTTCCCCAGGCCCTTCCCCTGACCCAAACTTCCCACCTGGGCCCATAGCGCCCCCTAGTGACCACACCTCCCTCTAAGCACCCAGATCTACATCAGGGGCTCAGAACTACATCCGGGTCCCAGACCAACATAGTGGGGCCTAGAATGCCAAACCAGGGTGCAGGCCACAAAAAACAAAACAAAACAAAACAAAAAACTCTAACAGTGTTGTATCAGAGGAATAGATCTCCATACAGAACCCAGACCACTATTCCGTAATCCAAAATTCCGTTGAGATACCAGACTGCCCACCAGAACGCAGAACTTTCTCCTTGGCCCATACCGCTCTCCCAGGACCCAGAACTCAATCCGGGTCACAAACCATTTTTTTTTTTTTAATTCACAGAGAAGTAGAGAGTGAGATAGAGTTAGAAGCATCCATGAGAAACATGGTTCAGCTGCCTCCTGCACACCCCCAACTGGGGATGTGCTCGCAACCAAGGTACGTGACCCTGACCGAAATCAAACCTGGGATTCTTCAGTCTACTGGCTGATGCTCTATCCACTGAGCCAAACCCATTAAGGCCAAGTCCCAGATCTTTATGGAGAGGACCAGAAGGCCATTCTGAGAACCCAGACAAGAACACATTGCCAATCCCTTTATTGGAGTCTAAATACCCAGGCTAGTCCAGACCACCATTTCATCATCCCAAGGTATTACTCTTGAGGTAAACCTCCCACCTGGGCCTATAGCGCCCCCTAGTGACTACACCTTCCTTCAAGCACCCAGATCTACATCCTGGGCTCAGACTTACATTCAGGTTCCAGATCATTTCATGGTGGGGCCAAGAATGCCAAACCGGGGCCCAGGCTACAAACACTGAACACAGTGGTGTATCAGGGGAATAGATCTCCATATGGAATCCAGACCACTATTCCATGAACGTCAGCCTGTGGACTGAAGGGTCCCAGGTTAGATTCCAGTCAATGGCATGTACCTTGGTTGTGGGCACATCCCCAGTACAGGGGATGCAGGAGGCAGTTGGTCAATGTTTCTAACTCTCTTTCCATCTCCCTTCCTCTCTGTAAAAAGAAATAAAAAAAAATCAATAAAATATATTTTTAAAAGAAAAACTTCTAGAGTTGTTACCCAAGGAATCTGACTACTACAATATGCTGCTGAAGAAGTTGGCCCTTCCTGTCACTCTGCTGTCTGGGAAGCCAGAGGTATAGTATGTTGCCCTGAGAAACATCAACCTAATTGTCCAGAAAAGGCCTGAAATCTTAAATCAAGCAATCATAGTCTTCTTTGTGAAGAATGATTCCATCTGTGTTAAACTAGAGAAGTTGGACATCATATCCGTTTGGCATCCTAAGCCAATATTGCTCAGGTTCTGGCAGAGCTGAAGGAATGTGTCACAGAAGTGGATGCTGACTGTTAGGCCATTGGACAGTGTACCGTTAATAGGGGAAGGACAAGTAATAAGAATAGGACCACAGTTGTTTAGTGATTATTCACCTTACTAACTATAGATAAGAGGTTTTCTTATAGACCCTGGGAAACTGGAAGATGTATTGCAAGAAGAAAAACATGGCTGTAAAAGATAAAGTAACCTTGAACAAGCCGGATGGGTCCATTACTCAGAAAAGAAATATATTTTAAAAGCAGACCAAAGACAGGAGATGCTTTGACTTGGTTGCTGTGCCTGGACCCAGATCCATCTGGGAGTTTGCCTCAGGAATACCAACGATTCTCCGGTTCCAGGAACAGGCTAAGCTGTTTTGAACATCATAGAAGATTAGCCACCTTGTTATCAGACTTTGAATTCCTAGAGGCCAGCCTGCAGATCCTACACTCCCCTTCCCGTGTTACACTCCCAGCTGCACGTAGTTATTTTCCCTCACCCTAGTATAGTCAGCCAGCTGGCAGAAGAAGAGGGAGCAGGATTTTTCCAGGGCATGAAGTCTGCTTCTCACTCCATATTGCCACCAATATGAAATAAAGAGTCATAGATAATTCAACCTTGTCTCTGCTTTTTGACTCAGTAGTGTCAGGCAACTTTGGACACATTTAGTGTCCAGTTTCACCATCAAAGCGGAGCAATCTTCAGAATGTCATGTAAACACACTGCTTGATCTCATCCAGACCAAAGTAAATTATGTGATCCAAGACCAAGAGGTGACTGTTGTCATCAGGGACATCTCCACAAGTACCTCCAGCAAGTGTTAAAGCATCATGGCCACTCTACTCTGTATGAGAGGCCATGATGCTTAGATTCTCTGGATGAGCCAGGTGCTCAAGCCAGATGACTTGGATTGTGGGAGAATATGCTGGAGGAATTGACAATATTGATAAGTTCCTAGAGAGCTTCCTGGAAGGTGTTCCTGATGAGAGCACCCAGGGGCAGCTCACTCTGCTCACTGCCACAGTGAAGCTGTTTCTCAAGAAACAGTCAGAAACACAGGAGGTGGTACACCAGGTCTTGAGTTTGGCAACACAGGATTCTAATAATCCTGATCTTCGAAATAGGGCCATATTTATTGGCACATTCTCTCAAAGGACCATGTCACAGCCAAAGAAGTAGTCTTGCCTGAGAAGCGACTAGTCTCTGAGGAGACAGATCTTACTGGGTTGACTCTGCTGGATGAGCTCATCTGCCATATTCATTCTTTGGCCTCTGTGTACCTCCCGATGCTTTTGTGAAAGTAATGGAATCCATTGCAAACATTTGCCAATACATCATGGGAGCAGCAGTGCAGGTAATTTTTGTAGGTAGAGCCATACTTCATAGAATGGAAATTATTTGGAAAATTTTACTTCTAAGATAATTTTCAGAAACAGTTCTTTAATAAAGAATAACAAATGCTATTGTCCCCAGTTGTCTTGCGAGGTGGTATATCAAAGAGCTCTGATTGCTGTTGCTACCCCAGACACAAACTTAGTAATTTTGATTCCCACAAGCACAGGACATGGAAACAGAAAGCTCAGGTGAGTTCTTTTGTCCCACACTGAGTTTATTAATAGATTGTCCCATTTGATAAAGCACTGATAAAAATGAATACTCTACAGACTGTTCTTGGTATTTTGTATTACTGAATTGATGTTTCAGTTCTATTATTCTTGATCAGTCCCTCACCCTCATATACAGTACATACACAGAGAAACAAGAAATCAAGTTAAATGATTCCAGTTTATTGTAGAAATACTGTTAATTGATACATCAAGGAGATCACAAGTACACAAATAATAAATGATAACACACTGCATTGTGGGGTAAGATGGTCATGAGGCAAGAAATCAAGGCTGTATGAATAGGTATGCAGTAGATAATCTTCACAGAGAAGGTGACCTTTACATTGAAATATTTAAAAGAAGGCGCCATGATCGTATAGTGGTTAGTACTCTGCGTTGTGAAATATTTAAAAGAAGGCAATGCAGTTGTATACTCATTGTGTACTTGAAGTGGGCATGTGATAAAAGACAGGAAGGGACAGGACAACTGTCAAAATGGTCTTGAGACAAAAAAAATATGTTGTGTACATAGAAAATATACAGTCAACAATGTGGTTAAAATATTAATCAAGTAAGAGAAAGAGCATTATAAAATCTTATACAAGTGTAACGAAAGACTGGATCCATTTCAATAGGTCCTGGTAGGCCAGGCTTAGTATTTTGATATGAATACATATGCCATAAGTGATGTGATGTGATCAATACCTATGAAGATACAGCTTAGCAAGCTACACAGTGAAAGGATATATTTTTATTCTGCTGTAAAATTTTGAGGGGGGAAAATTACTTTGGGAAAATGGAAATAGAAAACCTTAGGTCCTAAAATTAGTCATACCAAGTCAATTGCTCATTGTGTGGTTATGTGATCACTTTCACAGTCTGAGAAATTCACTTCTAATTGTCCCTTTTTAATTTTGGTATCCTAAACACATAAGATTTAATTATTTTATTAATGAACTGTGACCTCCACACTGATTTTTCAGTACCTCCATAGGTACTTAGTAAGTTTGATTCCCACAAGCACAGGACATGGAAACAGAAAGCTCTTTTGTTCCAAACTGAGTTTATTAGGACACTTCTACTTAGGCTAAAGATTTAAATTCCTCTTTCCTTCTCTTAATAATAAAAACATCAATGGCAACAACATTATTTTGCTAATTTTTCTTCACTACTCTGTATTCACAATCCACTCTATTATTTCTCACACCACATATATCCCAATTCCCTTTAAATGCCTCTGCAAATGTTTTATTCATTTCCTCATCATCATACCCAGTTCTGAATTTCTCTGAACCTTTGCCACTGGTAGTATTTTCTCTGCCCCCTCTCCCTTCCTTACCTGTAGTTGATTTATCTCTGCAGACTTTTCTCTTGCCAAACTTGCAGATATCATCTCTGATCAGTTATCATTTTCTTCTTTGTCTAATCACTCTCCATTTTGGGCTATCCACTATCTACTATTTCACAATGCACTTTTCTGAACAACTCTTATATTTTCCATCCTAAATTTTTTTTTCCTTCTACTTTCCCCCTGGTTATAGGCATATGAAGGTTAAGTTGGCTTTGCTTTTATTTCAAAATAATTCTCTTTGAGTGTTAATCTGCTTCACCAAATAATGAGCTCTGTTATAATGATAAGAATCTCTATCACCACATTTCCTTTGTACCATTGCTCTGTGGTGGGTGCTGTCAGACTTTCTCTAGTTGCATTTCTTTTGGCCCCCCAAAAAATGACCATCTAAAATGAATCTTAATCTAGGCCTAACTGGACTCCTTCCCATTAATACATAAATCACTTCTTGCCATTTCTTTCAACATTCCCAGGTGTTCTCCTTTGATCTTAGAATCAAACACTTAACGTATTACTTACCCAATTGCTTGTCTAAATTTATCCTTTTATTCAACTTGTTAATAAGACCGATTAGTATTTCTCTCCATGTATCTCTCTCCATGCCCACTTATTTCATTTTAGCTAAGATCTTCATTAATTTACTCATCTTTCATTTTGAATCCTTAGATATATCCTATTCTCTCATCAGATACTATTGTAACTTCATTAAACTCCCCACTGCCCACTGCAAATATTAGTGAGTATTTTGTCCATGAATGCACTGATAATTCAGACAATATACTGATCTTTAGGAGACTTTGAATCTTAGGGGAAAATATATTATGAATGTAAAATATTTGCATTTAGAAAGTTATATATAGTGTAAGTTGTGTGTGTGTGTGTGTGTGTGTGTGTGTGTGTGTGTGTTTGGTTTGAAAAAGTCATCATCTCGAGAGAGGAGCAATCTTGGCTGAAATTCTTAAAGAATGAGGTGGGACTTATGATAGGCATTAAAGAAGGGAGGAATTTAAGTAAGTACCGAAGAGAGGGCAGAACATTTCAAGCCAGGGTGCTGATGTGAAGTGGTCAAGCACAAACCACATTTAAAGAGAAAGTTGAAGTGGGATCAGAGAGTAAGGCTTTTGAAGTTACAATAAAATAGACTTAAGTTTTAAATCTTTGGAGATTATTAAGATTTGGAGATTGCTTAGAGGTATATATAAATTAGGTAATTTATATAATAATATATTTAGGACATTTTAAAGATAGAGCACATATGTGTATGTGTGTATTCTCACAATAGACATTTAGTGCTGGCAGATAAATTATGCCTAATCTTAATTTTACAGATAAGGAAATCCATATTGAGTAAATTATTTGCTGCAACTCGTTCAACTAGTAAGCAGTCAGCCTGGGATTCCAATATAGACTCCCTTCGTTTCATAAGCTCAATGATCTTTCTAATATATTGTAATATGCTTCTCCATATAATAAGCAGGAAGTATTCATTGTTAACCTGATATGAATCCACCAAAATACTTAACACATGATTTTAGAATTTCTATTCAAATTTCTGACTATCTTCCTAAGTCTATGCTTAATATCTACCAATTTGGTCTCCTTATTGCCTCCAAATTCACTTCAGAATCATTTCTTTCTCCTTATCTACTCTACCTCTGGCCTGGCCTTGTGGGATATTTTCCCTGCATCTACACCCATCCACTCCATTAATATACACTCAGCACCCACTACGGGTGAAATACTGGGATACACAATGTAAAAGAGTCAAGTGTGGAAAAGTTACAACACTTAATTAGTTCTTAGGATATGTTTACTGAATGGTGCTTATAATCTAGTGGGAGACATCTATCATGCCCATCACTTCTGTGAATTCTAAAAAAGTGTTAAAGTTTTACTCAACTCTCGACCAGCCTTCCTCTTGTTTTTCCTATTTGCACAGTTAAAGGCACACAGTAAATGTTTATTGCATGTTGATTTCCCAGAAGAGATGGGTGTGAAGAAAACAAGAAAAATATGAATCAATCATATTGACAAATTGGGCAAGAGGGATACTTAGATGTACAGAAACAGAATATTACCATGTGGAAAATAAATCACAATGTAAAATTGGTGGATCATAGAGAGATCTGAAATTTTGCCAGTATTCCCATAAACAAAGATCTTGGTTTTCTATATCCTTTGCTATGGATGAGAATGTTCTGAATGAGCTTCTTATGTGTCAGTGGGAGATGTCTCCACTCTGTCTTCCAATTCACTGTAAATTGGTGAATATATGTTTAATTCTTCATAGAGACGATCTTCTGGAATCTGGTAAGGAAAAAAGTATTCAGTATCAATCACCAAGAAGACTTGTTTAAGAGATGTTTATCATCTTTTTTGTCTTTCTGAATCTTATATTCTTTCCCACACACTCCCATTATATTCCCTCCATCTCCAACAAACTAAGCCAGATTGATGGGCCCAAAATAAATTATGTCAGTCAATGACAAGTTGGTGAGTGTGTCAGAACTTTGGTATATCTACTGTCTTAATTGTCTTTGGAGGAAAGTGATCAAAACAAGGCAGCCACTCTTGAATGCTTCAGGCAAGTGGACAGATGGGCAAGTGGAGATAGTATGTTTCATCTGGAAGATCTAAGTAAGTGTATATGCATCAAGTATTAGCAATTCTTTTTCTTACATCCAAGGTGCAATGGGTGAGTAAGACAAGAGGAAATGCAGGTGAGAGATGTAAATTAAGGAGGAAAAAACACTGAGGTTTCAGAGCAAATGGTAAGAGTAAAGCCAAAGAAAAAAGACAGAAGGGGAACAAATATAAGGGAGCTCTTCTGGGACAGAAAATAAACCCAGTTATGTGAGTGGTTCCATCACATGCTACCTGCTTATTCATTTCATGCCTAATACATTTCAAAGCATCTGCATTTCCTAAAACGATGAAGGTTCAATTTTCCTAACCCTCAGTCACAGAGCTATACTGATATTTATGCTACTTAGGAGTGGGAAATGTAATTTGAAACATGAGATTTGGAAACAAAAACATTGAAACTTGGAAAAATACTTTCTTTTTTTTCTTTCATATATATTTTTCTATTTCAGAAAGGGAGAGAGAGAGAGAGAGAGAGAGATCAATGATGAGAGAGAAGCATTAATTGGCTGCCTCCTGCACACTGCAGGCCCCACACTGAGGATCAAGCCTGCAACCAGGGCATATACCTAACTTGAAATCAAATCATGACCTCCTGATTTATAGGTCAATACTCAACCACTGAGCCATGTCAGCTAGGCCAAGAAATACTTTATTGGAAGAAATGTTTCAGGAAATTTAGGCCATATATGTTTTAGGGAATAAGCTCAAATTCTTTAGCCTGTCATGCAGGATTTAGTATCAAGTCTCTGCCTACCTGGTTTTCTTTGAGTAGTTCTCCAATTCTGTAGGCTATGAGTAACACAGCAGCCCCAAACCCCAGAATGGTAAGAAACAGGATCATCGCCACAAGTTCCTGTTGAACAATAACCAAAGACAGAATGGGCCACAAGTTAGGTGTCCCAAGGTACATTCCCTTATAGCAGCTCCTGTTTTCATCACACTCACATGATCAGTCCCTATAGAATTGTACACATACACACACACACACACACACACACACACACACACACACACACACACACACACACACACACGAAAACCAGGAGATGGTTACTTGAGGCAGTTGACTCCAACCTTATAGAACTGAGCTGGGGATGAGGGGAAGAGGTGATCAGCATCTCTGTGCACGAACCTACAGAATACCACATTATGTGACAGAGGTTGCAAAAAAGGTTTGTGTTTATGAAAAAAGGCAATGGGGGCTTCTTTACTTAGATTAGGATCAAGAAATACATACCGTGGAAAAAAAGGCCGCTATACAGAAGTCATCCTCATAAGCTTGCTGGCAAACATTGATATAAGTCAAACTGCCCTTTAGGTTGGTGACCAGGATAAAGATTCCTGTTCCTGCAGCTATGACGCTGACCAAATTTGCTCCCAGGCTTCCTTGCACCTGATAATAAAAACACTTAGACCTGTTCCTGCACCTGCCAGTGCGTCAACATTTCAGGGCTGGATGAATACAGTAAATTCTGCATGTATACAAAATAGAGATTAAAAGAGGAGCTCTTGAAAATGTATTTGTTTAATAAGGATTTATAACTTTCTTGCTAGGACCCCATTCAGGAAGACCCACATGGGCACACAGAGTCTCTCCTCAAATAGTCTCCTTAATTGTAAACAAATCATTTATATGATCATATGTCTATACTTACAAGGATGAGGGTGGTATCAGGATATTTTCTAAACAAGTGGCAACATTTTAAACACATTGTAGTTTAAAATGACACAACTGATATTTTAATGATTATAACCAAAACAAAATAAAGTGGGGGCGGGGGAGTCATATATCCACATTATCTCATACCATCAGAGATGATGGCATGTCTCCCTCAAGACTCCTAAAATTCAACTTTTCTTACCTTCTCAAGGAATTGCAACTCACCAGATATGCTGCATTTTTCTTTTCAGACATAATTGACAAAAATCCTGAAATAGCAAACTGTCCAAAGGAAGAGAGGAAACACAATGAGTCTACGCCCTTCTCTATGTCCCTTTCACTCCCTTCTCCAAATACAGGCTCAAGTTGTGGATATTCTACAAAGTTAACCTTTCAGGTTTGCCATGAGCTCACTTTTCTTATTCTTATTTCCTAAGGAGTGCTTCACAAAGTTAATGTACTCATGAATCAAGTGAGGGTCTTGTTAAAATGCAGATTGTTATTTAGTAGGTCCTGGAAGGGGCTTGAGGTTCTTCCTTTGTTCCAGCAGGCTGCCTGACTGATGCTAAGATTGACAGGTTATGGGTCACCTTTGGAGTAGCAAGGTCTAGCAATACCTGCTCCATGATTATGCCATAACTTTGTAACTATTTATTTGTGTGAGAACCTTTTATATTAGACTGTCATCGCATTTGAGCAAGAAATGTACTTGTGGCATATCTCTAGAGACTGGCATATATCATCTAGACACTTAGTAATTATGAGAATGTACATGATGAAAATATTAATGCATAAGTTCAAAACAATCTCAAATATTCATATTATTTGATGCATTGAGAGACACTAATAAGCTAAGTGTTTGGAATGAAAGGATAATAGAGAGAAGTTTCAAATAAAATATGGCCAAAGTTCAAGGAGAGTTCTGATCTAGTCCTAAGTCTTTAACTGAGTGCCAAACCAATGTGATTTTTTTTATTGATTAAGGAATTACATCTCTGTCATTATTCCCCCTATTTCTCCCCCCTCTCTGCTCATGCCCTTACCCCTCTTGTGTCCTCGTTCATTGGTTATGCTTATATGCATGCATACAAACAAATCCTTTGGTTGATCTCTCTCCTTCCCCCGCTCTGCCCCCAATGTGATGTTTTAAAGACTTAAAATATATCCTGTGAATGAGGTGTAGATACAAAAAAATGACATGAATTAATTGAAAATAATTAATGCTGAGTGGAGGAAGCCAAACAGTAAAGAGAACATGCTGTATGATATTCCATTTATATAAAACTCTAGAAAATGCAAACTAATCTATAGTGACAGAAAACAGATGAATGAGTGAATGAGTGCTTGAGGACGGGAAGACAGAAAATATAAGAAAGGAGGGACTACTAAGGAACACAAGGAAACTTTTGGAGGTAATGGATATGTTCATTATATTGATGTGATAATGTTTTCATATGTATGTGTGCACGTGTGAAAATTATCAAGTATACACCTTATATATGTGCAATTTATTATATGTCAATTATAACTCAATAAAGCTAGGTATGTTTGTAATCTCATTCAGTCATCTAGTTTCTAAATAGTAAAATGGTTAAAAGAGATTCAATGAGAAAGCACCTGAAGATTTTTCTAGGGCATGAGAGAAGTTCATCATATGCCTTTGACCTTGTGCTCCTCACCTAAGCAGTCTCTTTTCCTTTCCTTTTTTAAAATAACTTTACTGATGAGAGTGTTAGGGACATTTCTCTGGAATTGGATTCCAAACATTTAGGTTCTATTTTTATTGGCTAAATTTCCCTTGAACAATTCATTTAACTTTTATTAATCTCAGGTTTCTCGTGTAATAAAAGTGTGTTAAACCTGAAATGTTTAACCCATGGAGTTTTATAAACTGCAAATATATTTTTTAAAATATAGATACAAATACATAATTTAAATATATTATTATCTATAATCTGAATACTAGAAATAAACAAGTAGGTAGATCTAATCTGGATAAGAGAAAAGCTATGTGCAGTGTTATTTCAGAGAAAATTATAAGAATATACTCACAATTACTGCTCCCCACAATGGGTAGCCTATTTTAAATGATGAAAAAAACTCTTTCTCAAATTCTGAAATCTTGAACACGAAGTAGACAATTGTTCCAAAATAAAGACATATGAAACCAATCAGAATTTGTGTTACCTGTAGAAAAACACATAACTCTTATGGAATAAGAAGATATTTCCCAAAGAGTGTATCAATTTCCTTACCATTAAGGCCAACTGTGGGAAATTGATTGGGTGTCTTAGGCAGTCCTGAGAAAGAATCCACATGTGCTATCTTCCGGGATCCTCTGACCACTCTAAGAATTGTTACAAGCATGACCTAATGCAGGAATGGCCAATATGATTCTCATCACATTTACTTAGCTAGACATGTTGGACATCAATAACTGTCCTTTCTATCTAAGAGAAGATAAAGATTATAAATTCTTCAGAGCAAGATATTACATTAGCCACCAGCAATTGTCCAGAGTTGGCAAATCCTATTTGCCATTCTCATTCTAATATTCATGAGGAAATGCTTCTTTCTACTCAACAGGATCCAGTTGGTGTCAACTCAACTACTGGATTCTTTATTCCTCACGAATCCTACTGGGAAAACTGTTGATGCAACCTAATGTTCTTTTCTAGAACCAGTCCTTATTTTAATTGAGGTTGGAAAAAAGCTCACTTACGCCTAGGAATTCCAGCTCCCTCTTCAAAAATGTCAGCCATGTCTGGCGTGGTGGTGGGGCAGCCTTCTCTGGTAGGGTGCTATCACGAAAAGGTGCTTCTGAAAGTTCAATTTCAGGCACACTGTGAAGTTTAAACAGAAATTTAGTAATGGGAAGATTTTCTATCTTTCTATGTTCAGTTTTGAACTCACAAAAATGAGAGTTTTCATTGCTTACTTTTTCAAAACAGTCTTGCAATTAAAATTTTTATTGCAATGAATAAAAAACTGAGGTTCAAAGGGTCCAAGTAACTGATCAAAATCAATATCTAATCAGTGATTAGAGAAGACAAAGTGAAATGAAAACTGTGCCAAGTCTTTTTATTAATCCAAGAATTAAACCAAGTTCTTTCCCATTAATCTGTGCTGACGAGTGAAAATAAAAGTGATCAAACATGTTTACTTATACATATTTCAGTCCTTTTAATGTGGAAGTGTGTGTGACTATATTTTGTCACTGGCACACCCAATTTCATGTGTGCAAAGAAATGGCTTTGAAAGGTTAGTTGAATTTCTAATCCTGTTTTCATCCTAAGAGGAGGTTAACTGGAATTACTGTCTCTTTTAAAGATTTGGAATATGCCTAACATTTCACAATCGAACATTAATTCTCAAAGTTCTGTTTTCAGCCTCTCCCGAAACTGTTTAAAGTTTTAACATGTGTTCATGTTTGCTATTCAAAGGAAACCTAAATTATCCACCTCTAGTGGCCTTCACTCCAAGAACATTTCCCCTCTAAACAGTGAGACAGAATCCCACAGCTTACTGTTAACAAAGACTACCCAGAAAGAAGCCCAGGGTCATTTCGTTTTTAAAAGTATCTGTCCTTTAGCACACATCAGACACAGAGGCTAGAAATCTATATTGATAGAACAAACTCCCCTACCTCATTCCTAGAATGTGAACCTCTATTGTTAGAAAACTTTTATTCCCAGTTCACAAGCTGAGTAAAGACCTTCCTTCCATCAACCAGAGAGAACTACTGGTAAGGTATAGCAATACATTAATTAAACCAGATAGGTCCAAAACTGAGTCTATCAGTTGACATCTGCCCACCATTGTGACTATTTCTGTCTGGATCACTAAATAATTGAGCATATAAAAAACTAACAATGAAATTGTATACATATATGGACACAGACAATGGGGTGGTGAGGACCTGGGGAGGAGGATGGGAGGACAGGAACAGGCTAGAAGAGGTTAATGAGGGAGGGGAAGAAGGGAAGGAGGAACTATTTAATGCTTTCAACAATAAAAATTAAGAGAAAAAACAGAAATAGTTCAGAAGGTAGGTAACCTAGATTTACTTAACAGAAAGTAAAAAAAATAATAATAACCTGTGCCTACCTGGAGGAATCTTGTGGATTTGGGAGAGCAAGATCTGCTCTGCTTCTATTTTCCGAGTCCATTTTTTTAAATTATTATTAATTGAGCTATCCAGTGATGAAGAATATTGTTAATGACAGACAAGCCTTGGTGGGCTTCCTCTCAGGGTGTGCTCCGGGTGGACAGTTAAAAGGGATTGGCTCGTTACATTGATGATTATCTTTCTAGTGAAGACATTTGTCAGGCAGATAAATTTACTGGCTGATTAAGATTAACAGGGTTTCTCTTGCTATTTTGAAAAGAAAAATTGAGTTGTCTACTGAGACTGCTGTAAAATAACTCTTCCTGCGACCAGCAGGATTCACAGACCCTAAAAACTAAACAGTTTAATGCTGATTGAGAAGGTGAGAAAAAAAACTACAGAACAGAGAGAGCTGTCCCTCTCTACTTGTGTCCCAGTTCAGCCATTTCTATGGCGGAAGCTTGTCCATGGTACCTTTGAAAAGCCTATCATCCCTGTTCAAATCATACTTAGATTCACGAATAGGAGTATGTCTTAGCCTCTGAATCTCTGGATTCATCTCCGACTTCAATATTTATTGTATTTCTCTCTCTTTCTCTCTTTTGGACACAATGTATCTAGCTTTGCCACAGATGGTCTCAGAAAATAAACAGGCAGAGTTCGAACTGCTGTGCACCATTCCTGACAGACTGTGAAAGCTAAGACGATTTCACGCTAAAGACTCCATTGTCCTCTAAAGTACTAAATTAATGGTCTGCTGCTTTGATTTTTTGTGATGACCAGGATGGGATAGCAGAGACACTGAGGGGCATGGACTTGATGGCAAATCCTATGAGTAGGTCTCAGCAGCATTGGACTGAGCAGTATGTCACAATTAGGGTTAGAGCTACCAGTAAACAAATGTGTTTGTTCTAATTTCATAACTAGCTATACCATAACAAACCAAATATACAGGTGAGATTCACAGACTTAGGACACTTTCATTTCAGTTTAATTATAGACATAACCTTGAATGCCTCATCAGTAAACTGTAAGATATTACAAATTGTACCTCTAATCATCTGGATTGTTTCTCTGAGGTATGATAAAATCTACATTATCCAGGAAACTAAGCTAATTATATGAACAGAGGACACTAGAAGATATATGTATTAGCATGCCTTTCATAACAAAATTTATTAACTCATGTGCCATCTTCCTACTGTGTCTTCAGGAATTGGTGGCCTTGAGCAATGTGTTATTATAATCCTATATTGTAAAAGGGGGGAGATGAGGACATATGTAATAACTTAATCAATAAAGAAATTTCAAAAAGAAATAGGTAATATGCAAATTGACCATCACAAGATGCCAGCATCCACGCCTGCCGCTAGAGTCCCCTCAGCCCCGCCGGGGGGCCTTGGGTTCTCCTGCACCCCTCCCCTGACTGAGGCCTAGGCAAGCAGGGCTAACTGAGGTGCAGGCAAGACTGGGATGGCAGCTGCCCAGCCACTCAGGGCCGGCCCAAGGTGCAGGTAACCAAGGCTGGCCGAGGCTTATGCTACCAGCAGTGGTAGAAGCAGAGGTGTGATGAGGGCATCACTTTCCCTTGATTGCTAGATCACCTACTGCCCCTGAGGGCTCCCAGACTGTAAAAAAGGGACAGGCTGGGCTGAGGGACTCCCCCCCCTCCCAGGGTCACATGCACCAGGCCTCTAGTTAAGAAATAAACATCATTCAATTATACACTCATCTAAAAAGGACTTATTAAAGCATGTCAACTACTGCTGGTATCACTGAGCATGCAGAGATGAGTACCGTGGTCCCTGTTGCTTGTCCAGCTCACAGCAGAGTAGAACGGACAAATATGATATTAACAATATAATACATCAGAGGCTGCTAATCATAGCCTCAAGAGATTCCTTTCCTCTCCCTCAGTGAAATTAAACCACCTCTGCTGGAAAAGACCTGAAGAAATGCCTGTCTACGGTATTTTCTGGGAATATATAATAGTTCATTATGTGTGCAGCAAATAATCAGAAATTAGACTTGAGATTTAGACAGGAAACAGACAGAGGATGGTCTTCAGTGTCTGGACATGATGCAATTTTGTAAGAAATTTCAATAGAACCTTGAAAAATGCAAACCTCCAAATTACTTCATATACCAATTCCCACCAGCATCTTCTTCCTACACTTTCTGAGATGTGTATAATCTTCTGCACCCACACTATGGGTCCTTTTGTCCATGCTCCATCATCTTTCCCAATAGTGAACATTGGAACATAAGATAAAATCATTTTTGTTTTTTGGTCAGGGCAAATTTATCAAGATGAATTTTGATCACATGGCTGCCTGAAAGGAAGAGATAATTGAGCTAACATTTCTTCCCCACCACATAATTTCCTCCTTCTGACAACGCATTAGCACATGCTTTTTATCTGCTCTCCATCTGGTTTCCTCTTTGACAAGCAATGGTTCTTTTCTCACTTACACACTAGATTTATTTCCCTAAACTCAAAAGAAATTTGCTTTCAGATTACATCTGAAGAATTGTTTTCTCAAGCTGAATGTTCAAATTATTTAAAATAAATATGCATGAATTACATGTTACACATTGAAAGTGTGTCAAGAATGGGTTCCATAAATATTGTTAAGATGCCAAAGTTAAGAGAGAGGCTGAGACTGATATCAACCTCCTAATGTTCCACAGAATTGACAAAATATTGTTCACAGAACAAGAGAAGTAGTCTTAAAAGGCTAGCACTGAGTCCAAACTTGAAGAGAATACCTTTGTCTCTTCATTTATATGACCTCAGAAATGCAAAGAGAAAGATTTATGCAAACTACCCAGGTATTTAATATCATTCTGTTATGTGCCAAACTCCTAACACAACACATGGCACATAGTAGGCATTCCCTGTATCAGTCGTTCTCAACTTCCTAATGCCGTGACCCTTTAATAGAGTTCCTCATGTTGTGGTGACCCCCAACCATAAAACTATTTTCGTTGATACTTCATAACTGTTATGAATCATAATATAAATATCTGTGTTTTCTGATGGTCTTAGGCGACCCCTGTGATAGGGGTCATGACCCACAGGTTGAGAACCACTGTCAGGGGTTGCCTAAGACCATCAGAAAACACATATATTTATATTATGATTCATAACAGTAGCAAAATTACAGTTATAAAGTACCAATTTTATAATTTTATGGTTGGGGGTCACCACAACATGAGGAACTGTATTAAAGGGTCATGGCATTAGGAAGGTGGAGAACCACTGCCATAAATGATTGTTGAGTGTATAAAAAACAAATTTTATGTATACTGAGTGTCCAGATTATTAGGACTACTTACCCAATCAGTACTTCATTGGACCACCTTTTGCCTTCAATACTGCAGTGATTCTTCTTGGCATTAACTCCACAAGATGTTGAAAACTAATGTGAGGAATCTGACACCATGTTTGATGAATAGCACTATCCAGTTCTGTGAGAATTGATGGTTGTGGAACCAGCTGCCTGATGGCTCTTTTAACTTCATCCCACAAATGCTCAATTGGATTGAGTTCTGGTGATTGTAGGGGCTGCCTAAGCAAGGTAAAGTCTCGCTCATATTATTGAAATCACTCCTGCACAATACGAGCAGCATGGCCTGGTGCATTGTCTTGTTGGAAGAAGCCATCTCCATTGGGATACACCATCAACATGATAGGATGAATTTGATTAGTAATGATACTTAGATATGTTGTGCTATTCAGACATTGTTCCATATGAATTAAAAGGTCCAAATCATACCAGGAAAACATGCCCCAAACCATAACACTGCCCCACCGACTTGAAGGGTTGTACTCATGCATGCAGGTGCATGCTTTCATGCTGTTTCTGTGAAATTCTCACTCTGCCATCTGCATGATGCAACTGAAAATGTAATTCATCGAACCACATGACTTTTTTCCAATGCTCGACTATCCAATCCTTGTGTTCCTATATGAATTGGAGACGTTTTATCTTGGTAACTGCAGACAGCAAAGGTGTTCGAACAGGCCTTTGGCTTCCATATCCCATACGATGCAGTGTACAGCTAATTTGCCTACAAAGGTCAGGTGGTCATAATAATTTGGTCATCATATATATATATGATGAAGAAGAGATGTAAGAATTAGTAGAGAGCATAGAAAGATCTTTGTACATATATTCTGAAGAAGAGATGTAAGAATTAATAGAGAGTGTAGAAATATCTTTGTACATATTATAAACAAGGAGATAAAAGTAACTCATGGGTATGAACTTATATTGTGGATGAGTCAGTTCAGTATCAGGACAATTAATTTATTGGTCATATATATAAATACTTCAGCAGTAGATTTATAAACCAGGATCCAGATATATCAGGAGCTTTAACATCAGAGAGTATTGGGGAGCCACAGTGGAAGTGTGAGGCTTTGTGCCATCTTCCCTGCATACCTGACCAAGGTCCCAGAGCAACAAGATGAACAACAACAGCAAGACCATTGTCAAGGAGATGTGGTGCTATTTCCTATTAGCTTTACTTTTATTTCACCGTCATAAAAACCATTGAAATAGTATTCGCAACTATTATACTTACTTTACAGATGAGGAAAAATAGGTCAGAGAGGTTAAGTACTATGCTCAAATTAACACAGTATCAGAATTTGAACCCAGATCCATGTGAGTTTAAAGCCTTAATTCTTTATTTCTCTGATTTGCAGTTTCTCACCATGCTTTGAAGAATAAATATTGACCTTGCTCTCAAAGTCCCCAATCTAAATCATGATTTCTGTGTCAGGGCATGTGGGAATGCATCTCAGCCACTGATAGAAATAAAATCTTGAGGCTTAACCCTCTCACCTTAAATTCAGTCAAATTTGTCTTCAAGATGATGATGTGATTTTTTTTTTCTCAATTGACAGTTTTTTCAATGTTGATGTCAGCTAAAGTCTAGAAGTATTTTTCTGGAATAAAAAAACACACATCTGATTTATTTTTCTTCTCATTGGGTAAAAGGAAGTTGGACTTGAGAGAGAATACATGAGATGGAGATTATTCTCCCTGTTCTCTTTAAACCTTATAAAGCAATGTCATAGGTGGGGACAACTTTGAAGTGGTGATCATAAAAGTTACAAAGCCAAGTTTGCCTAAAGAGGCATATTTGTCACTCTGTATCAAGACATATGAATGGCATTTATAGTTAAGACAGAAAAGATTGAGTCAAATATCCAAGTTTCTCATGGTTGGATTTCATAGGCTCATGTTCTCTTGTCTCTTGGATGGAACTCTAATTCATGGAGATGTGAGGTTGAATTTCCTTGTGCTCAGATTTACTTTAATAAGGATGTGCTCATAATTCCACAGAATTGAAAGGTAAGGAAATTGCCTGAAAAATAAAACATCATCAATCTCCAGGAATAGGATCATCACCTGTCTCCCTTTCCTTCCAATTATCATCATGATCATCACTGATAAAATTCGTCCACTGATTATTACTCTGCTAAATTATTATATGCACAGTCCTTTCAACAAACATCAGAAATGAATGAAAATGTTTTAATTTTTTCAGTTAAAATACCAAAAATCTAAAAGGAATTGGTGATTTTTCCTTGGTTTACAGCTAAAAAGTGATGCTATAAAAATAATAATTTAATTCTATCTGAACAAAAAAAATGTGTGTGCTTAGATATGAAATACACTGTTTCCTCTTGCATTTTTACATTGGAATTTTTTCTAGTTTTCATTCTATCTCTAATATTCATACCATCAGTAACTCCAGGAACCCCACAAATCACCACTGCATAGAAGTTTCTTTTCAACTTCAAGAGTCAGAAATGACCTCGAGCCCTAGAGGGAGGATGGCAGACTATGGTAATTATTAATCATTTAAACAAACCTACCTCTCTTGAACTACATCCGTTTGCTTTGCACCACATGGCTGAGACAGAGATGGTTATGCTTAATTCCAACAAGGTAGGGATCAGCATTAGAGACACAAGGCCCTAGAGAATTTGATGCATCATATCAAATGCAGTAGAAACATTCAGAGGGAAAAAATGTCAACAGGAACCCAAACTATAACACCTCCCCTCCCATAAAATAGAACAAAGCAAACCATAAATTAGGTTTAACACATAACCACACATCAGCACTCTATACGAGACACAATATCAATCTGAAAAAGTGGAAATATTTTTCCTGGAAAGAGAAAGACGCTGTATTTCTGCATCAAGGCATGTGAAGTAGTCATTGGGGAGAAGAGGCTATAGAGGCAAAATTCTGACCCCGTAACTAACATCTCCCCTTTGGAATAGCAGTAAACTAAGGAGGCCAGAAAGCAATTTTTAAAAATGGACTAAAGTAGCCCCTCCACCATTTCATGGAGGTATAGGCATTTACACTATTTCTAAAAACTAAAATAAAAGGAAAAAACATTAAACAAAAAATTAACTAGATTAGTGATCCTTTTCTTTAACTGAGGCACCTGAAAGAAGCAAATACACTGTTCCTCTTGAGGAAAAATACCATAAAATTCATAGAAATTAGATCCATATAAATATAAATTTATATCATGAACAATATAATGAAGAAAATGAGGACACAAACTTTCATGGATAGCATCAGCAAACCAGAGGATTAGAAATGAGTCTGCAAATAATAGTTCATAAATCATCATGGGGAAAATGGACAAGTTAAAGGAATATATTAATTTCTAAGTTGACCTCAGAAAAGGGAGAGTACCTAAACATAAACAACAAATTATAATTTGGAAAGGTTATTAAAGTCCTTTTCCATTGAAAATATCACACTCAAATAAATTCAAAAGTGAAGGCATCCAACACTTCAATGAATCATTATTTGAAAATCTCAGACCACAGAGGAACTTATAAATCTTCCAAGTTAGTTTTAGGAAGTAAGATGTGAAATATCATTTTTTTAATTTAATCTCTTCGGGGATTTTAATAATAGTAATAGCAATGTTAATAAAAATATAATTCAATGTGTTAACACTATTTTAATTGCTTATCACATATTAACTTATTTGATCCTTGCACCAACCCTTGTGAGATTGGTACTATTACTACCTTCATTTCAAAAATGAGAAAACTGTACAGAATGGTAGTTGCCAGAAGGAAGGGGAGTCCTAATATGAGGTGACAGGAGAATATTTTACTTGGGGTGGTAGGTACATGGTGCAATATACAGATCTTATAACAGATATCCACACATAAAACCTATACGTTCATGCTGATTAATGTCACCCCAATTAATTAATAAATAAAATTTCAAAAAACAAAGATGAGAAAACTAAAACAGAGAGGTTATCAAATTTGTCCTTCATCACAGAGCCAATACATGGCAGAGCAAAGATTCAAATCAAGGCAGGGTATTAGCGTACATTTTAGATTGCTTGAAATATTTTATAATTAAATATAAATTTTTAAAACGTATGTTTGATTAGGCTCCCAGATAAATGCACAAATCTGGTGACAGTGTAGACTGACAATTCTTGAACAAAAGGCTGTTAAATGCTAAATTTATTGAGAGAAAAGTAAACCCTAATAGTGCGATTGTAGCACTGGCGATATTTAACCCAAAACTGTTTTGCATCTAAAAAGCAGTAAGAATTTTCAGTTAACATAAGTAGCACATAGTTCATTCTTTTGTCTACAATTCATATAAATAAATATCAATTGAACATTGTTTACACAACCAACAATATCACAGATGCTGGGAAAACATCAGTGAACAAAGATCCCCACCCTCATGGGGCTTACATTCTAGCAGCAGTAACAATAATAACAACAAAAGAAATTAATAGATAAATTATATAGTATTTTTCAAAGTAATTAAGTGCTGTGGGATAACAAAGTGGAGTAAGGAGGATGTGGAACCCAGAGAGAGGAGTGGAGGTTTGTGATATTAAAGAGGATGCCACATGGGGAGAGGCATTAAAGAACTGAGGGAGTCAGCCTTGAGCATATTTGGAGACTGTTCTTGCAGTCAAAGAAATACTTGGTTTTAAAACCCTGAGGCCACCGTGTTCCAGGTGTGTTCCAGGAAAGCAAGGTGAGCAAAGGGGGTGGAAGAGATTGAACAACATAAACAATATCAAGAAATGAAGGTGGAGAGTGAACAGACAGCAGATCATATACGATCCTATAGATCTTGGATAAGACTTTGGTTCTTACTCTGAGAAAAATATAGAGCCTTTAAGGAATTTTGAGTAAAGGGAAAACAATTAGATTTATATTTTAAAGGGAACATCAATGTCTTTAGTGAGACTAGTTTAGATAGGGCCAAAGAAAGAAGAACGGAGACTGATTACGAGAAACAGTGGTAGAATGGATGAAGTGTTATCAGTAGAAAGATGAGCAAAGGTCAAATATAGCTTGATATAGCTTAAATGCAGAGCCAACAGGATTTTCTGAAAACTAGATTCAAAGTTGTTAAAGGGAGAAGAACTAAGGATAATTCTAGAAATCTGGAAGAATGAACTTCCCATGTGCTGACATGAAGAAGACAGTGGATAAGGTTTTTGAAGAAAAATAGGAGTTGGCTTTAGAATTCTAAGTGAAAGCAATCAGATATAGCTGTCTGATGCACAGGAGAGAGATTTAGGCTGAAAGTATTTATTTCAGGATTCTAGGCATAAAGATGTCATTCCAAGCCATGGGAATGAATAAGATTGTCAAAGGAGTGAGCAGAGAAGGAAACAAAGAATTGGTCTCAAGAGCACCCCAACATTAAAAGGTCAGAAAGAAGAAAAGGCATTAGGAAAGAAAATCAAAAGGAAGAGACTAAAAAGACAGGAGGAAAACCAGCCAACCAAGGTGTCCTGGAAGCAAAGTGAAGATATTACTAGAAGGAATGAGCAACCAGCTGCAAGCTCAGTGCTGCTCATGGAGGAAGTTAGATGATGAGTGAGAATTGACCTCGCTGCTACCATTGTAGAAGTCTTTAGTAATCTTACAGAGAGCGGTTACAGAGGTGAAGAAGAGAAGAAAATAAAGTCTATTGGAGTAGGTTTAGTTGAAACTAGGTAGATAGAAATCAGAGACAGAGTACAGATAATTCCTTTATGGGGTTTAGCTACAAAAGAGAAAGCAAAATGTGCCTATAGCTAACAGGAGAAAAGAAGGGCAAGATATGTGTGTGTTTTTTCTTTTGAGAGAAGTAACTGGATGCTTATAGAACATTAAGGAAAAATAGCCATCTACAAAAGAGGAAGAGTGAATGGATCAGGAAAGTAGTGTAATTGGATAGATAATGTAGTGAGAAAACATAATGGACAGAGTCATTGTTTAATAAGGATCAAATTTTTGGCTTTCACTTGTGGAATTAGTTATGGGAGAATGTGTACTCAAAATAATTATATTGCTTAAACTTAACACAAAAATCAAGAAGCTTTTTTCTATGCTTTGGATTAATCAGATATTCATCATAACCATCTCAGTGATTATATTCACAATCTATATGATTTTCTGATGCTTTACCATTTGGATGCCTTAAGAAAAGGAATTTTCTTCTGCATTAAAGAGACGTGGCATCTCAGTTGGAGTTTCAAACTCTACTCTTTTATTATTAATAGATAACATTTCTATTCTTATGATCATAGAAAAAGAGGAAGAACTGCCACTTACCAACTTTCTCGTGGGTTTTCTGCTAGCTGCAACAGATATAGATCCTGAAATAATAAACTGTTTGAAAAGAGGAAATGAAGCAGATAAGAAAATAGAAGTTGCCATGATTTTTTTCTTGGTCTTCCCATAGTATACCTAGCAATAGTAACATAAACCTTCTATTTTAAATTCACATCCTAGAACATTATACTTGATGTTATCATAAATACAATTTTAAATTAGTTTAAATTTTGAGTAAAGTTACATTTTCATTTAATTTTATCTGATTTTGTATAGGTTTATGTGGGTGTGCATACTTTAAAAACATAATTAATATATACTTAATGTAATATATATATCTTTACGCTTATATGTATAGTAAATATAAATCATATTTATTTATATACACATGTGTTCTATAAAATAAAAGCTCAATATGCTTAGTGTTGGGTTGACTGGTAGGTCATTCAACCAATCAATGCATAATATGCTAATGATATGCTAAGGCCAGTCACTATGACATGCACTGACAACCAGAGGGCAGACAGTCAACTGGTCAACCAATCGTTATGATATACACTGACCACCATGGGGTAGAAACTCCAACCAGTAAATTAACTTGCTATTGGGGTCCAGCCAATCGGGATTGAGCAAGATGGGTCAGATATGCCCTGGAGCCCTCCTGCAGTCCCTTCCCTAGCTGCCAACTTCTGGCATCCCTCCCTGGCCCTGATCATTCACCGGTGGGATACCTTAGCTGGGCCTGTGACTTCTCACAATCTGGGACCCCTAGGGGGATGTCAGAGAGCCAGTTTTGGCCCAATCCTGCAGGCCAGGCAGATGGACCCCACTGATTCACAAATTTGTGTGCTGGGCCTACAGTATATAATATCAGCCTGACATTTTTATCTAAGCTTCAGAAAATATTGGACTAGATATTCTCATTTTCTCATTTAATTTCATACCAGTCAATGTGATTTCTTTTCATCAGAAAGTAGGGTGCTTTGTTTTTAAAACAAGTTTTTGTCAAGAATTAAAAATCAAACCCACATAATGTAACCTTCAAATCAGCTAAGAATGATACTTTAATAATCAAACACATTTCTAGCAGTGGTATCTTAAAAATCACTTATGGTTAAGGTATTTGAATACTCACAAATACAGCGCCCCATAGTGGGTAGCCTGTGTAAAAGGTAAAAAAAGAGAAGTGCCTGAAGAGATTGGATAAATTTTGTAAAGAACCCAGAAAAATACCCAGAGCCAGGATTATCACTCTATTCAGGATTTGGATGGCCTGTAAGAAGAATCATAAAGGTCATATATTAGTGTACCCTGAGAAGAGAACATTTACATTTTCCTCAGAAAGGAGACATCAGTGCTTGAAATGGTTAGAGTTACGCCTAAATTAATTGGGCAAGAGCTTACCCTGGGAGGTTTTTGTTCCTGAAAGAAAGAAAAAAGGCTTGACTTAGCTTTGAGATCAGGAGGGGTGAGGAATGAAGCTGAAGAAACAATGAACTATCAGATCAAGAAGGACCAATGCTCTGTTCATTGCATACATTATCACATATTAGATATTTTATCTAAAATGTACACCTATTTCCCAACAGATACTAAAGTTTAAGCATGGTCTTTACAAGGTAATAAATGAATGAATGTTTGGTCTCCATGACTTATGATGACAGAAAAATTTGCAGGGTTTGGAATGCACTATACAGAGAAATTCCAGAGAAGTTCTAGAGAGAGGAAAATTATTCTAACCACATAACTTAACTTGATTTTGTCAACATAAGAAATATTCAGACCTGTGAAGAATCTCTGTGAGTTTATTTGATCCAAGCTGTCGACAGTTGCCAGGAAGCAAAATCTCAATGGATTGAGATAATGCTCCAGAGAAAGGCAGTTTTGCACCTTATTTTATACATTACAGTCAGAAAAGCAGACACAAGTGGTTTACAATGAAATACATTGGTGATAGATTAGGGAGTTGGAGAAAGCAAAGTGGAGAAACCTCTGGGATTGGATGAAAAATGAGATGTTAGAAACGTATTTTTACATAAATGGCTTCAGCATAGTTAACAGCATAGTTAACAGTCAATGATTAACAATGATTAACAATGAGGGAATTTGTGGTCTCTGCTTCAAGAGGCCAAGAAAAAGGGAAAATACTTTGACATTACAATGATATATTATCAGAGATGCAAAAAGAAAATAGAAAGGCTCAGTTAAGATAAAGATTGACCTTTGTCAGGAAAGATGCTGGCCTAGGACATGTCTACCCACCATAAACTGCTTTTATTTAAAAAGTTTTAATTTCAGACCATCCTTTGTGGTTATTGTTGATATTTTTTTTCATTGATTTTCAGGAAGAGTGAAAGAGAGGGAAAGACAGAACATCAATGTGAGAAAAACACATTGATTGGTTGCCTCTTGCATGAGCCCTGATCAGGGCCTGGCCGAGAAAGGAGCCTGCAACCAAAGTACGTGCCCTTGACTGAAATAAAACCCAGGACATTTTGGTCTACAGGAGCCAAACCAGCTAGGGCCTTTGTGGTTACTTTCAGTATCTGCATTTGCAAGGCCACCACACAGGCCTCCTCTGAGCTTGTCAGGTTTAGTATGTGGCTCCTTTTCATCCACAACTTTTAAAAATAACTATGAATATCAGGGAGAATTTTCAGCCTTCAAGTAAAATTAACTATGCTCTCTAATATGGTCCATTTGGCTTTTTCTTACTGGACAAAGTACTTACTTATTTGTTCCTAAGAACCAATCAGTTAGGTTCACTCATTTAGCTTTCAGTATGTTTTAAATGTTCTTATGTTAACTGGTTTCATTCTTACAACATCTATATGAAAAGATGATATTGTTATGATCTTTGCCATCTTCAGGTGAGGAAGCTGAGCATCAAAGTTGTAAAGTAATTTGCCCAAGGCCATGAAGCCAGCAATTTGAGGAGGTAGAGAGCAGATCCTAGCTGTCTCTAGAGTATTATTACTTTATACTGTCCCCTGGATTTATGCAGAAGCTCATGGACCAAATTGCTTACCTCAAGTGTATCTAGACTGCCTTTATTGCCAGAGCTAGCAGCCAAATTTGGGTGCAACCACTTGGATTTAATATATCTAAGGGGTATGTGCCTGCATGTATGGCATCCATGCCCACATTTTCCAAATAACTAACCATATAACTATATCTAACATTTTTTACCATGGCATAACAGGGGAAACCATCTTAGAGCTCAACTTTCCATGTCTACATAGCAGTCAAGCACAAAACTTTGCAGACATCCTCAGTGGCCCACTGGGTGACACCTTTAACAGATAAGAAAGACAGTGAAGAGGACTCTACAGGGTTTACCTTGGAGGCTTCAGGTCTTGACAGACTTCTTTCCTCTCAAGCCCATCTTGCCATGAGTAGGAGACACTGGAGACACTCAGTAAGGACCATTACAGTGTCTTTTACCAGAAAGCAGAGGCCTCCTCTAATTCAGGCTTAATGGATCTTTGCCTTAGGCAACACTTTAGAGGAGGCAGTGAAAATGTTTTGTTGGGAAACTGAAGAATGTGCTAACCACATCCATGGGTGGCCTTCAGATTTCACTGTGCTTCCTGGAGGTATAGTGTTGATTAGGAAAGTGGCGCCAGGAATAACTATCTCTGACTTTGAAATTATTGTTGGAACAAGAAATACAAGCAGAACATATGGGTAGATGAGTAGGAAGGGGCAGGGACTGCAGGAAGAACAGTTAGAGCCATTGCATGGAATACTAAAGAAGAAAGGGAAGAGAATGTGTTTTAAGAGAAAGAAATGAGGAAGTGAAAAAAAAGTACTCCTTTGAGCACAGTTGTTTTTAATTTAGAACTGCAGCAAGAGCTGAGTGAGGAAGTTACTTAAACTCTTAAGACTTCAGTTAACCTCTAAGATTTCAGTTATCTCCTCTGTAAACTTAAGCTTATAGTATCCACCTTAGAGAATAGTTTCTCAGGGACAGAATGGACATCAGGCCATAGTAACTAAGATCTTTACATCGCAACTAAGATCTTTACATAGCATAACTCTTTGGATTATTAGGATTAAATAAATTGTCACAGTGCGCTGGTAGTATCACCTGACATACATTTTAAGCCTTTCTATTAACTGCCAGAGGATAGTTCTGTTATGACAATGATTAAATTCTTTGTTTAACAAGTAAACAATCAAATACAACATTTTATTGAAAATGATAAGATAGAAGCACTTTAAATGTTAAAAACTTAATGAAAAATATCTTAGCAAAATCTGTTTCCAGAAGGATATAGCACCCAAAATGTATATTTCATTAAGCAATTGAATATAAGCAGTTGAATTGAATACACCAAAAAATCAAGAAGTCTCCTCAAAGTCAAAGTGATTTTTTTGGTGTATTGCTAGGTATACTCCCACTTCAGTGAAAAGAAGACAGCATAAACAGCTGATGGTGGGTAATCAGGTAATGAATTGCTCTTAATTGACAGGACAATGCCATACTTAAAGGCCTTAATCATCAATTATTTCAAGTGTGGAAGAAACATATGGGGGAGAAAGGAAAACATGGCATCAAATTTCAATTAAGAGAGTGGTCTTTATATTCTAGAATAGAAATTAAATTTCCTTTGCAATAATTACTCAAATATGATGGACATTAATTTTAGGACTCTACCGATTAAGTAGAAGAGCACACAGAAGTTAAAGCATCTTCACAGAAAAGGACTTGGTCTCTCCCAGGAGTTAGTATATTACATTTAAATTCTGCACAAATTTTAGTCTCTGGCACATTTCAAAAAAAAAATTTAGAATAGTTTTCAGAGGTTCAGATCAAATAGATCTAACCATTGTCATTGAGGATATATTGCTGAATTTACTACATAGAACAGTAAATAAATAAAACTTAAGTGGGTAATATGAAATACCTAATAGTAAACATTAAAGTAATAAGCCATACCCTTAATGAATAATAGTATCTAAAAATACACCTTCACTAAATCAGGACCTTCACTGAATTAGGGTTTTTTAAGGATCAGGTACCTAAGTAAAAATGCATACCAATTATTTATTTATACAGAAAGAAAACATAATTTTTCAACAAAATCATGATGCCAATTTCAAGTTTTTATTTTTCCTTTAGGAGGAAGTCAGTTTAATTAAACTTAATAACCCTAACTCTTCTGGCGTTGTCTTAAAGTCAGCCCTGACTGGACAGGGATTCAACTTTATTTCATCTGTAGAAACTGGTATAAACCGCAATGATTTCCTAAAGAAGAGAAAAGCAAAAATCAGATAAAGTTGACATACTAAGTCTTTCTAAGTCTAAATTTGGAACCAAGTTATTTTTAGCAATTTTGAACACTATGTTCATTTTCAGTTTGGTGTTGTAGGAGTGCAGAGCAGTGCCTGGATCTTCTGGATAAAGATGATTTATAATGCTTGAGTTAGCAGAGTACCACAGTGCCCAGACTTAGACAAATGGCAACTAAAAGCTGTCAAAAGCTTTATCTGACCTAGTATTGGGTGGCAAGAGAGGTATATAGTGTATGTGTTGAGGGGAGAGGTGGGAGTGTATGTTTCTGTTTGCATACAGCAGTAAAATTCATGCACTGAAAACCTAATCATATTCCTTTGTTGGTCTAGTCTTCATATCTTCATTTTTTTTCTGAGAAAGATAAGTTACAACCAACATAATAATTACTACCAAAATGGGAATGCCTTAGTCATCACTGTTATTCTGGTGGCCTATACAGAGGCAACAGCTCCAGGGCATTGGCTAATATATAAGAACTGATGGCTCAGTGCACCAATTCGAGCTCTGGTGGGGGGCATGGCCTGCAGAAATTGGCCACTGTGGGAGAGCCACTCATCCTGGCCAGCTGAGCAGTTGTGGACCTGTCCTCTGAGTGGCTGCTGAATGAGGAAATTAGTCTGAGCTGGTATTTGGGGGTAATGTCTTGGGTAAAGATATGTTCTGTGTCCTGGAGGAATCTGGTGGAAGCTTTGAACCCCAAAACCACTCGGTGAGTGTCCTTGATGTGTGATGCCAGGTTGGTGATACCATTGGGGATGTTCAGGGAAGCCATGCTCCAGGATCCCCAGCCATCAGAACAGCCTCCCCTAGGGTCCACAGTCATGCCCCCTCTTGCCATCTGCCTAGGCCAGCTCCCCATGCTCTTTCTAGAACACACCTTAGAGAGCCTGCATCAGGTGGTGGGATCAGGCCAGAGTCTGGATTGTCTCAGGTATTTGATAGATTCGAAGATTTGGCCTCACCCTGGGCCAGCAGCAGGAGCAGCTGTTTATCCTGGTCAGCAGAGCAGCACTCCCACTGTGGGAACACACTGAACACCGGGGGGCAGCTTCTGCCACCCCCATCCTCCCTACCCCCACCCCCACCCCATGGTCAGTGCACATCATAGTGGCTGGTCAACCAGTTGTTCTGGTCATTCTGCCATTTGGTCACTGGCATAGATGATAGATAGATAGATAGATAGATAGATAGATAGATAGATAGATAGATAGATAGATAGATAGATGAAAATGTGTATGTGTGTGGTTGTATATCCCTCAATCCCTCATTCAGCCTTTTTTTGCCCTATTGGGGCCCAGAATTTGAGAGACATTTTCCTCTGGACCCATGCATAATAAATGTAACCATCTCTCTAAGTATTGCTTGGTTATTCTCCAATTTTCTGTAAGAGTCAGACTGGATAGCTATAGCATTAGGCAGACTTATACCTTATTGTACCTGTAACATGAGTTGGTATTTAAACACATTTTGTCATAGACATAGACAACAGTGTGGTGGTTACCAGAGGGAAAGGGGAAGGGAAGAGATAAGAGAGGAGTTAAATATAAGGTGTTGGAAGGAGATTTGACTTTGGTGGTAAATATGCAATGCAATATACAAATGATGTATTACAGAATTGTCCACTTGAAACATATACTTTAATTGAACAATCTTAATAAATTTAATTTTATAAATAAATTAAAAACAAAAAACACATGTAATTCTAAAATTGTTCTACAACTTAACTCATTTAGACATTAAAAGAGTACTAGGATGTAGATATTATTTTATTCCCATTTTATAGATAATCAAGTGATATATGGAGGAGTCACATAGCTAATAAATGGCATGCAATCTGAATAGAATCAGACTCTGAGATAAGGGTTCAGAGCTCAATATTGGTTTAAGGGGAGGTGATTAATACAATAACTAATACTGAAGAGGGTTCCTGGTGTGAAGATGTGCTTAATGAAGTGGAGATAGGAACAATACTCATTTGCCTTTCTGAAAGTTCTTGATCAACAATTTTTTCCATCCTCAGCTCCTCTCACAATGGTTTAAACTAAAATAATTCTAATGCATAAACTAGTAATCGTAAGTGATTTATTGAACAGCTACTTACAACACAGTGAGTGACAATGACCTTCCACACCAATCTCACAACTTACACTATATTTTGAGTTTAGCACTCAGACATCAAAAGTCTACCTACAAAGACACAGTATGTTTTATTTGTAACATAGCCTCCACATAAAAATTATATACAGATACATTCTTATCTGTATAAAAGAATATGCAAGGGCTAAATTGTCACTTTGCTGAAAAAAACACTTTTTAAAAACAAATGAAGCATTAGGCACTACTCCAATCCATCTAGAAGTTATTCCAGATGACTTCTCAGGAGGTGGCATAGAAAAGTTTCAAAATCTATAGTGATTGATTTAAAAAGTAAATTTAAGAATGCTATAGCAACAGACTTATTGAGATTGCCAAAGCATACACTAGAACACAGCCACATTAGCACTCTCATAGACTAAAGAATGAGGCATTCTAAGCAGAAGTGACTGATAGGATGGTTTCACCTGCAGAAGAAAAAGACAGGTAGTTAGTGAACAGCTGCAAAGTAGCTTCCAACAAATTTATAAACATGCTGATTAACCCTTTGACCAGTGGATATTGAACACCTACTATTTCCTGGGGGTTGGGGGAAAAAGTTGAGGAGACTGAGACACTTGGCAACTTTTTACTCAAGTGACCAAGCACTATTTAAAGTGGCTAATTTGGGCACTAACCCAGATTATGTTTAAACCAGACTGGAGATTTAGTTAATTTGGCATGATAACTGCAGTGAGGAAAAACTTATCAAGAAGACCACAACCTTTATAGACACATGGAAGTAGCACTTTTTCCAAACATGATTGTAATTAATGTGAGATTCATCACATAACTAGAAACTATTTAAATAAATAAAAAAACTAATTAGCAGAGATTTAAGCTTTGTTCTTCCTTATATCGATGTCATATATTGCCTGCTCTAAGGATCATTACCGAGGGGTCTTGGAAATATGGAATCCAAGGCAATCCAAACAGGCAAGTGTTGGTTGTGTTCCAGAAAAGGCCAGAATTGGCAGAGGGAAGATTGTTTTCAGACTTTGTAAGATCTTTGTCAACAGTGCCTGGAGTGGTATCTAAGGAGGATAATCTAAAATTTTTAAAGAAGAGAAAATTTGCATATCAGGTTAAATTTTAAAATAAACTATTAAGTTTCATTTTGACTTAACTGATTGCCATCTATGCTACTTAAACAGTAGTAGCTTTACCACCACCACTACTGCCCTTTCCTCTATTTGATTTTTTTTTTTTTTAGGGGCCATGCTAATCTTCTCTTTATCGTTACAATTTTAGTATATGTGCTGCCGAAGCGAGCACTGATATTTTTTTTCTTTAAGGAATAAAAGTTCCTCTCTTCCGCGTCGGCCTGCGGACTGAAAGGTCCCGGGTTCGATTCTGGTTGAGGGCATGTACCTTGGTTGCGGGCACATCCCCAGTAGGGGGTGTGCAAGAGGCAGCTGATTGATGATTCTCTCTCATCAATGTTTCTAACTCTCTATCCCTCTCTCTTCCTCTCTGTGAAAAATCAATAAAATATATTTAAAAAAAAAAAAAAAAAAAAAAGTTCCTCTCTTCCCTTCCCAACACTCTTCCTTTGAGGAATCTATTCCACAATTGAGAATGTTAATTCTGATTATGCAGAAGTTCCCAAAGGGTACTCTCATACAGTGGAAGTCTTAGATCTTTTCAACTTCCCACTCATAAAATACATACTATAATAGAATACTAAAAGTGTCATTTCATTGATCCTTAAGGTATAAAAAAGTTTAGTAAGTTTTCCTGAAAGCCATCCTAAACAACCACCCTAATTAAAAAAAATTTTTTTAAACACTTTTTTTCCAATTCAATAATGCCCTTCAAGTCTACAGGTTTTTGTAAGTTACCAAAATTAGAAAACATTGGGTCTTATATAGAAGAAAAAATTATACAATTTAGGTTAGAGTTGATTTTTTTTTTAAAGGCTTGACCTTAAAGAATAGATACTGAATGATTTTACTACCATTCCTATCTTTCCAAGCATCTCTTGATCTTCAGAGGGGCAGCTATGTGACAAGGTATGTATTTAGGCCCTGACTCGTCATCTCCTAAGTACACGATCTTAAGCATTTCAATTTCTTCTGAGCTTTATTAACCCACTTTAACATCATAGTGAGAAGGCTAATCCCTATTTTGCAAAACTACTGTTTGGAATTCTCTGCTGTTTTTCTTAGATGGCCCCTTATTCTAAATAATAATAATAATAATAATAATAATAATAATAATAACAACTTTGCTTTCTAGCCTGCTTTAGCCTACTTAAATAATGAGGAAGATAAACTTACCTATCTGACCTTGTAGGGCAGAGACTAGATATGCCCATAATTTCAATGCCATGCCAGGTGCATTTTTTAATTGGATAGAACTGTATTGTTTTCAAGGCCAGCATCGAGATAACCACTAAGTGCATGTAGATCTGGCTCTCTAATAAAAAGGGAAGTTCTGCTTGTACCCTTGCTTAGAATTTGAATTCATTTTCTCTAAGCCCACTCCAGTGAATAAAGTGTGACTCCAAACTCTCTGGCATTGTTTGATTATTCCGGTTCTCTGTAACATTAGTAGGGTTCCCCAAAACCAGAATCTGACAAGGAGATTTTTATATGGATAACTTATTCTAGAAATGCTTCCAGTAAGGCAATGGGGGAAGTAGGAGATAACAAAAGGGTGCATTTTCAGGCAAAATCCTCGCCTCAGCAGAATCTGCTAGAGAGCTCCAAAGTCAAATCCTGCATCACAGTTTGTCCTTGAGTCAGGCAACAGAGCCAGGCTTTCTTTCATATTCCACTCCATCATGGAGATGGGGGAATTTTGCAAATTCCTGGGCCCAGCTGGTATCATTAAAGGCCAAAATGCACAAAAGCAAGATGAGGGACACACAGAAATGGTGAGGGCAACACAAGGGGATCTGGGCACAGCATCTGCAATGGCCAAATGACACAGTTGAGCATTTCATTGGATAAAGGAACTATACAAACCAAGTCATTCCAGGACTCAAACCTAGCTGAACTTCACTTTGCAAACGTTTTATTTTTAACAAGCAGTTCTTAGAGAAAACAAACTGTGAACCAGCTAGTCCATTACACTCACCTGGGAACATGACACATCAAAGGGATTTTTCTAGTGACTCCTTCGTGCATGATGGTACAGTGGAGAACTGAATAAAAAACCACTCCATAGGAGAAAACCTAGTGGAACAAAAAAGCCTGTTTAATACCATCTCACACAGGAGTTTAAATGAAATTTGAACAAGAAACAGATCACATCAAGATGTGTGATCTTTAGATTAAAGTCTGTAAAAAGACTATCTCTACACAGACCATCAAGAAAACACTAAATCTGGCTCTAGACCATCAGTGCAACCAGTTAGCATTTTTGGAAACTGAAATCACGAATTGCCAGGCTAGATACAAGGGCTACAACTTCTACTTATTAAATTTACTCTGGAATTTGGCCTTCAAATGTTACCACAGTGCTAGGTCCCAGGTCTCTGGAAAGAGTAAACAAAGAGGCACTTTTATTTAAAACCATAATTGGAGGATTGTGTTTTCTGAATACATGCTTATTATGGAGACTTGAAAATACACTGCGTAATGGCAAAACAAAAATCTTCATAATCCTAACACAGGGATAGTCCTTTCTCTGTTAGACCTGTGGTAAACTGTTAGCCCTTTTAGCTTCAGTTGCTTACCATGAAAATTAGAAATTAAACCTTCTTTCCAGTGTTTCTATATTTCAAAATATACAAGGACTGAAGATGATTTATGAGTGCTTGAAAGTCATAATAATATATACATCAATGTATCCCTCCCTAAAGGGCCAGGAGCTATTCAAGACCAAATTCTGGGACCCATTGATCTTTATCTTAAAAGTATTAAACCCAAGTCTCATAAAAATGATGAGGTTCTTCATCTTGTTACAGAATTTACCAGGTGACCGAAAAATACACAGGAGTACCGGAGACACAGAAAAAAAACATTTATTTTCAGATGTTTTGCATGTACTAGTACAGGACTCAGGGGAGATTGTTTCTCTCCAAATCCTGAGCAACCCAATATGGAGGAAGCTCTCCCTTTATACCCCTTTCATTTCTTTGTCCCCCAAATAAGGATCATACTTCCAGTCCTTTATCAGGCTTTGCAAAAAGCCCCTTGTGTTAAAATGGGGGGCATGAAGCCACACCTAAAGGCCTGGCCTGGCCCTAGTTGTGTATTGTTCATGGTTTATGGCCTCTGTAAAATGGGAGTAGCACCTAGGTAAACAGGTCTTGAAAGACCAGATATTTAAGAAAGGGGCAGTGACTAGACTATGGGCTAACAGGAATGTGCATTAGATTACTGGCACAGATTCAGATTGCTAGCCTCCCAAAAATGTCTTATTTTCCTCGTCAGTCTTTGACCTTGACCGTACCTATCTTGCACTAACTCTAAGCACAGTACCATGGCAAAGTAAGATCAGGGAGTTAGTGTATTATTTGAAATCATCACAGCTCTTACCTCTTTCTGAATTCCACACTCGATGGCACGGTAATTAAACTCATATCCCTTCTCAGTTATGTGTGTTACAGGACAACCAATTCCCAGAGACACTGAATCAGAATGCAAAAAGTGATCTTGACCAAGTAGAGTCGGTTCAACCACAGCCCAGAATAAAGAAGAAGTACAGCCTACGGACACTGTTGAAAGAACACCCCCCACCCAAGAAAAAAAGATTCAGATAAAAGTCTTAGTCCTAGAGGACACTCAGAGAAAATTGGTGCATAGCCTCTTACTAAGTACGTAAATAAATAAATACCCCTTGAAACACCCTTGAGAGATGCAATGTGAATGTTCAGGTGAAGTCCTAACAATTATGAGTGAAAAATTAACATCAGGTCAGGTTCATGGAGGCCTACCTATCAGGGGAAAATCTTCATCTCCTCCTCCCAGCATCATTTCCTTAAAAACTATAGAGTTAAGCTTAATGTGGGATGCTATCTCTGCTTCACTTGCTATGGGACTGCCCCTGGACTTGGGGAGCCTCAAGCTAGTGTTCGGCCTTGGATCTACAGGATGAGGCCAGTGTAAATGATCAATGGGACAATTCTCTGTAGTGTCTTGCCCTTATTCATAGCAGCCAAACACACCTTTTGTGGGTGAAGGGACAAAGGAAATCATATATTTGAGCAAGTGCTGGATCTGCCCATAAAATGAAGATTCGTACGTGCTGTGTCTCCTGCCCTGTGTCCCTTCCACGAAATGTTAACAAAAAAAACATTGAAACCTGTAAAAAAAAATTTGTGAGTTTATTTGCACCAAACTGTCGATATATGCCGGGAAGAAAAACCTCAATGAATTGAGGTAATGCTCCAAAGAATGGCAGGTTACATTTTTATTTATACATTGCAGTCAAAGGAGGGATATAGGTGGGTTACATGAAATTCATTGGTGATGTATTAAGGAAGCAGGAGAAAGCAAAGCTGTGGGAAACCCCTGGGATTGGATAAAAAGTAAAATGATGGACACATAGTTAAGTGGGTACAGGAACAACTAACATGATACTGAAGAAATTTGATGCATCTGTCCTGGCGCCCACCACATTTGGTTGTGCCCCAGGGGCTCCAGAAAAGGGGAAGTTACAAGTTAACCAGACATCTCACAGACATCTTTTTAGAGGCAAAAAGGCAAATGGGCTCAGTAGAAAAGATCTAAGTTTATCTTTGTCAGAGAAAATACCGGCCTAGGACATGACTACCCACTATAACCTGTCTGTAGTTAAATATTTAATTTTCAAACCATCTTTTGTGGTTATTTTAGGTCTCTGAGTTTGCAAGACTGCCACACAGGCCTCCCCTGAGCTTGTCTGGTTGGCATGTGGCTCCTTTCGTCCACAGAACAAAATGGAGATTGTCTTAGATTAAAGCCTACTCATGTCTGTTGAGTCTGCCAGGTTGAATAGTTATCCACAATTGTGGTGCCCCATTAACTCTACTCCGGGGGGGGAGGGGGGTATCTAAGTTTTCAGATAGATATGCAAAGAATGTCTTAAAGATAAAGCTACCCATCATTATATTTTCATGATAAGGAAATACTAGAAGTAATAAAATTAGGTTTACTTTCCATGTAAAATTAAGCTTACTTTCTATCCAGTGACTTCTTTAATAAATAAAAATAAATAAAATTTTTCATAAGTAAAAATTTCTGTAAATAAGGCAGAACACAGACAAATGGGTGGGTTGCAAATGAAACAACAGGTATTAACAGATAAGTTTATGATTCGGGAAAAATAGGAAGTGAGAAGAGAAAGAATGGAGAGCTTCGTTCCCATAACCTGATTTAGAATTAACTCACACTCAGAGGCAGGTAGCTGGATTATGAGCAGATCATGGTGGCATTTGGAAGAGTACTATAGTCTGAAACTTTAAATAGGGAAATCTTTTCCACCGGATGAGGTGGTGGAATAGGACGCCACATATTGGGAAATACCTGCATCTGGAAGGAAGAATAAAATTAGCTCTTTCCCAAACATGAGATAAACTAGATAAGCCATCTGCTTTGGGGCTAGGGATGGCAAATAGGAAAGCATCACTACTATGGAAGTTAGAAAAATAGAATGGCAAGTCACTCCTACTGAAAGCAGCCAACAGTAACAGCCAGAGAAACTACACCTGCAGACAACAACACATGTACCTGACATTTGCTGAGAAGAAGCCAAAATCAAGCACACACAAAAAGATGATTGTAACGCCACAAAATCCTTCATGATTTTGATTGTCAGCTCCCAACCAATGACCCTGGGAAAAAAACAGGAAATTGGAAGCAACCAACCTCCTTTGGGTAATTTTATAGCCAATGCCAAACTCAGCTGACTGCATTTACAGATTACTTCGTGCTGATTGCTTTTATTTTCTGGGAATACGTATTGGGTTTTTCTTGATTGCTTACTATCTGAAAATATGGAAAGTATGAAGAGCAAAATAAAAAATCTTTATTAAAAGTGGCCATATTTTAATATTTCAAGAAAGACTTCTTTCTCCCTCCTGAATCTGGGCATTGCCATGATCACTCCAGCACTGAAATCAGAGGTGCAAATAAAATGCACCAGCAAATCTTTCAGACCTGTGACTCCTCTAGGCCCTCTGAAGTTCTTGAAGAAACCAAATGTTCAGGAGTGTCAATGCCTGTTTATAAATTGTTGGGGAATAACATTCAGGGAAATATTTCAGCCTGTGGTATTTGAACTTGAGAATCATCAGAATCACCTGCCAAACTTGTTGAAACACCATTGGTTGCTGGGCTGTGTCCTGGAGATGCTTATTCAGGGCTTGTGTGGAGTCTGAAATTTTGCATTTCTGAAAGTTTCCAGGTGAAGCTAATGCTACTGAAAAGGAATTTTTGCACTGGAACCCGGATTCTTTGTCTGCCGGAATCGAAGAATGAATCCACAGACAGAAAGTGGTATAGCAAAGGTGGAGATTTATTGAAGAAGTACAGACTCCCATGTGGGGAGAGGGAAAGAGTCTCACAGAATGGACTCCCATGTGGGGAGGGGCAAACGTCCCATTGAGGTTTTTTTCCCCCTCCAGTTTATAAAGGATGCAGATCTTTGTGCCTTGACATCCCCTCTGACTGGCCACTACTCCCTTGAACTGGTTACCATAACAACTCTTGGGCTCAAAGGTTTAACCCTTCCCCTCCCTCCTTCTTTATTGTTTTTCTATTCCCTTCTTTATTTTTTTATTTATTTATTTTTTTTTATTCTGGATGAAGGGCTTCCTTCCCTTTATTTTGTAAATATAGACTTTTGGCTGTTCCCAGCTCCCTCATTTTATGGAAATGTACCTATTGCAGCTTTTCAGCTCCCCCATTCTATGGAAATATACTTTCGGCTGCTCTGCAGCCCTGTACTTCCTCCATGATCCCCTTAATTTCCAAAATTTCCTAAACCTGTCCTATTTTACCCCTAAAATTTCTGTTTCTCTACTGGTGCCAGAACCATACTCTGAGAACCTCTGACTCAGATACAATCCCTTAGAGAGCACCCCATTCAATGGCTTCCAAACTTCAGAATGATTATCAACATTATCTGGAGGGCTATTTAAAAGTAAGGATGTTTTAGCCCCACTCCAGTCCCGTGGGATTTGTTGTAGCTGAAAGTTTCAGAGTATATAAGAATCACTGCAATTTGTTGTCAAATTTCTTGTCAATCTCTTGTAAATTTCCAGTCTAACCTAGAGAAACAGGGCCTAGGTGTATGCATTTTTAACAATTGCACCAGGTGATACATAGAGGCTCCCATTTCTAGAAACCTTGAGCAGAAGTCCTCAGGGCTACTGATAGCAGAGGAAGCAAGGCAGGCCTCCAATTCTCCTCCAATTATTTTCACTTCACTTTCATCTGTTTTATAGTAGAGCCTTTTAAAAAACCACCCACATTAGAAATCCTGTGTCCTTTTATTTGAAGTGTACAATCATAATTTTAAATAAGAAAATCAGATGTGCTTATGTTACAGAAAACTGAAGAAGAACAAAGCAATACTTAGATAGTTACATTTATTATATTATGTGTGCGGGTCCAAAGCAAAATGTATCTCAAATTCTGGGCCCACACATGCAGGAATTCTCCCTATTTATATGATTTTACCTTCTTTGTCTTCCAAATATGGAGTGTTTCTGGCCCCTTTTAGTAAGTTCTTAAAGAGCCAGTGTGTACTGGGGCCTTGAGACCTCAACCAGAGGCCTAGCCTGGCACCAGCACTGATAACCTTGTCTGGGCAAGTTAAATCCACAGAGCCAAATAGCCAGGTTAAAATTTCAAACAGCAGTTTTCATACAAGATAGATGCTTCACCTAGAGGCTACTCAATAAATGTCAAAAAGGCTCTTTTTGGCATTTCTAATTCTTAAGACCATTCTGTGCTAACTTACTTCTGCCCAGCTCTCTTTCCCTTTCCTATCCCAGGAGCAAGAGGGCCTGTCCTTGTATGTGAAGTGAGTCTCTGTTTTGAACAGAATAACACTAAAACCTGTTTTCCATGATTTTACCTTGATATTTTTTTAGTAAATACAAGTAAATAACATGTGCAATCTATATATATAAAAGGCTAAGTGACCGGCCAACCAGCCAACCAGCTGGTAGGTATGATGCACACCTATCACCAGGAGCAGACTTCAATGCAGGAGCTGCCGACTGACAGCAAATTTGTAGAGTGCCCTCTCACACTCCAGGACCCCTCCAGGGATGTTGGATGAATCAGTGAGGAATAAAAAAGTGAATCCAAATCTTACTTTGCTTCATGGATTCTCTTGATATTTACAACATCTAAATATATAGACACTGTAAAACATTTGTGCTAGTAGTCGTAGTCTTTTGAGGATCTGGAATTGTTACAGAGAACCGGAATAATTAAACAATGCCAGAGAGTTTGAAGTCACACTTCATTGCAGTGGGCTTAGAGAAAATGAATTTAAATTCTAAGCAAGGGTACAAGCAGAACTTCCCTTTTTATTAGAGAGCCAACTCTACATGCACTTAGTGTTTATCTCGCTGCTGGCCTTGAAAACAGCACAGTTCTATCCAGTTAAAAAAATGCACCTGGAATGGCATTGAAATTATGGGTATATCTAGTCTTTGCCATACATGGTCAGACAGCTAAGTTTATCTTCCTCATTATCCAAGTAGGCTAAAGTGAGAAGGAAAACCCCTATTTTGTAACAAACTGCTGTTTCGAATTTTCTACTGTTTCTAAAAATGTCTGCTTTAGTCTGTTTGAATAATAGGAGATAATGCACAGATGGGCCTAAAAGCAGTGCAGGGGTTCTGGGTAGATCCTCCAACAGAAAAAGGCTATTAGTGAAATACTAGGGAAACACAAGTCTATAGTCTGGTTCAAGCAGGGCACCAGCATTCACTAGTTTTCTGTGTCGATGCCGGGCTTATGGAAACTGTGAAAAACAGGAGAGACTAGCTATGCAGACCTGTGCACAGGAAGCCTGTACTCACTATGCAATTGTCAGGTAAATCTAGAATTATTGCAAAATAAAAATTAAAAAATTATTTTTAAAAAATGTAATTAACGATAGAGAAACCAAGATGGCAGCATAGGGTAGACACCCGAATGCAGCCTACCACAACAAATTTGAATTTAGAACTGAAAAACAGGGGAGGCATTGCCCTGAAGCGCCAGACGACTAGATGAGTGGAGGCTCTGCCATCTGAGGAGAGAGAAGGCACGCTGAACCTCAGGAACTGTGAAGGTACGGAGAACTGTGTGCGCGAAAAGGCGCTGGCTTAATCCCAGTGCGGAGAGGAAGGGCCGGACCGAGATTGCTGCTGGCTTACTCCCTGCATGCAGAGAAGGCAGGCCGGGCTGAGTTTGCTACTGGCTTACTCCTGGCGCGGAGAGGGCGAACAGCTAACGTGGCTGGCTTTCTTGTTCGAGAGGAAAACAGAATCACCCTATTGCTCTGATAAACGGCCCCAGACAGGGAGAGGCCAGACTGTCAGGCAGCGGGCAGAGATCTCTTGGAGGTGTGTGAAGCCAGAGGCCATTACTGCGGGACTTGGGGAGGAGCCGAAGGGAAAACAAAGTTTGTCTGCACCAACCCGAGACTCCGCCCTACCTGAGCACAGAAGCTCTCCCAGAGGCTGGCTTTCTCTAAGGAGGGACTTGCAGGAATCCAAAGCTTGTCTGCGCCTTTACCAAAGAGGTGCGCGCACCTGCAACCAATCTTCCAAAACTCTCCACGAACAGGACTTTTCTAAGGCAAGACTGACAGGGAACCAAAGATTGTCTGTGCCACCCCAAGACCCCGCCCTATTCAAGCAGAGTACGGAAACCCTCCTAGCTGAGACACTGCTGATCCTCACGGCCAATAGGCTTGGAGATCAACGCTTCCCAGTGATACCAACAATAAGCAAGGCTTAACAAGACTGCACTCACAGCCCACAAAGGGCTACACCAAGACTGTCCACCACAGGTAACTGGGAAGGCTGTGCTACTGGGCTCTACCAGAACACCTAGCACACAAAGCTATTCCATAAAATCAGGGAAACAACTAAAATGCAGACAAGAAGAAGGACACAAAAGAAGGAAATGGAGGGGAAAAAAAAGATTGGACATTGAGTTCAAAACTACAGTTATAAGGTTATTCAACAATATCCTAAAAAAGGCTGATAAAATAAATGAGACCTATGAGGATATGAAAAGGGAGCAACTAGAAATAATAAGGGATCAACAAGAAATGAAGAAACACAAAGAGCCAGAGGACACTCCTCTGCAGAAGGGAGAAGATAAGAGAATCCAGAAAGTTGAAGATAGTGTAAGAAACCTCTGGGACAATTTCAAGCGAACCAACATCAGAATTATGGGGATTCCAGAAGAGAGAGAACAAGATACCGAAAGAGTACTAGAAGAAATAGTGACAGAAAACTTCCCCCACCTGGGGAAAGAAATAGACTTACAAGTCCAGGAAGCCCGCAGAACCCCAAACAAAAGGAATCCAAGGAGGACCACACCAAGACATATCATAATTAAAATTCCAAGAGCAAAAGACAAAGAGAGAATATTAAAAGCAGCAAGAGAAAAGTAGGTAGTGACCTATAAAGGAGCACCCATAAGATTGTCAGCTGATTTCTCAACAGAAACCATGCAGGCCAGACGGGAATGGCAAGAAATATTCAAGGTGATGAATAACAAGAACCTACAGCCAAAAATAATCTACCCAGCAAAGCTATCACTCAGAATCAAAGGACAGATAAAGAGCTTCACAAATAAAAAAAAAGCTAAAAGAGTTCATCACCACCAAACCAGAATTATATGAATTGCTGAAGGAGGTTATTTAGGAAGAGGAAGAAGATAAAGATAAAAATTATGATCAACAAATACGTAGCTATCAACAAGTGAATCTGAAAACCAAGGGAATTTAAAAATCTGATGAACAATATTAACTGGTGAATATAATAGAATCAGAGGTATGGAAGGGGAGTGGACTGACGATTCTCAGGGAAAAGGGGAGTGGGGGTGCGGGAAGAGACTGAACAAAAACTGTGCACCTATGGATGAGGACAATGGGGGATGGGGAAAGGACAGAGGGTGGGGTGGGAACCTGGTGAAGGGGAGCAATTGAGGGGGGGGAAGAGGATCACATTTGTAATAATCTGAACAATAAAGATTTATTTTTTTAAAAAAAAAGAATTAACAACAAAATGCATCAAAATAATGCATCAATATAATCATTAATTGCAAAAAATATACCATATCAATGTAAGATATAGGGGAAGCTGTGAAAGGTATATCAAAACACTATACTATTTTCACAATATTTCTGTAAATATAAAACAGTTCTTTAAAAATAAAAAATAAAGTTCATTAAAAGAGAAAAAAAATG